CCCTCTAAGGTCCTGCGCAGGTGCAGCTCTGGCGGCGATGCCGTGGGTTCGCAGTGGCGCAAGCTGTTGTCCAGCAGGTTGCGTAGTACCAGGCGCAGGCGTCCCCGGTCCAGCGCCAGCACCGGCAGGGCGGGATCGGCAATGACAACGATGTCGTCGGCGCAGTCATGCCGAGCCTTCAATTCAGTGATCACTTCGCGAGCCAGTTCAGCCAAGTGGGTGGGCTCTCGGTGCAGGGCCGCGTGCCGGCCCGCCAAGCGCTCGCTCTCCAACAGGTCGGAAATAAGATGCGCCATCTCGCCCAGATCGCGCATCAGCGCATCACGCTGTGGTATCACGTCCTGGGTCTCTGGCAGCAGTTCGGTATTGAGGCGGGCGCGCGTGAGCGGACTGCGCAGCTCATGGCTCATGGCCAGCAGCAGAGCGCGCTTGGCCTCCAGCATCTGGTGGATGTCCTCGCCCATGGTGTTGATGGTGCCTGCCAGCTGGCCCAGCTCGTCCGGGCGGTGAGCGTGGCGCACCGGAATCGGTTCGCCGAAATCACCATGGCCAAAACGCTGCGCGCCAAGCCGGATATCGTCCAGTGGACGCAGCAGGTGGCGCACATACACGAACGCCAGCGCCGTGAGCAGCAGCAGCACGGTGAGCGTGCCCCAAGCGATGCGCGGACGCTTGTCCCAAGACAGTGCATTGAGACCAAATTCGATGTGGTGTCCATCGGAAGTTGTGCGTTGCAGCAGACGGTAGCCCGTGTCATCGCGCGCCCAATGGTCCTGGCGCTGCACCTTGTCGCTCATCCAGTCAGGGCGAGGACGGTCTGGGTGCGAATCCCACTGCACCAATGGTCCATCGATGCGCAGCGTGACCGGAAGCCGGTCCGCAATGGCTTGGGCACGCTCGATGCTGGGTGGACTACCAATTTCGGCGGTCAGGCGATCCACATAATCCATGAGCAGCGGGCGCGCAGCCTCTTTCCAGCCCAAGGCCACTACCTTCTGCATTCCGCCCATGAAAACCACCGCCACGGTCACGGCCAATGCCATGAACACCAACACCAGCCGGATGCGCAGCGAGTAACCGACGGCATAGCGCGCTCGCCGGTGCCAGGGGCAATTCGGGTCATGTGCGAATGTGTTGTCAGCGCTGTATACGGCCTTGTTCGTGGAACTCTTCATGGCTGAGACACCTTCGCGGTGGCTTCATTTGGTGCTTGGAGAAAAGGTCTTTCCCCCTGGCCCACCGCGGCCCTGCGCAATGCCAGCGAGTACCCCGCATTGCGAAGTGTCTTGATGCAATCCAACGGCTCCAGCTTCTTGCGCAGGCGGCTGACCACGATATCCACCGCACGTGTGTAAAGCTCGGCCTCGTGACCCCGCAACTGGTTGAGGATGTCGTCACGGCTGAACACCTTGCCCGCCTCGCGCGCGAGCAGGTGCAGTAGGTCGAACTCAGTGCCGGTCAACTCCACAAGAGCGCCGTGTCGTACCACGCTGCGTCGCGCCGGGTCGATACAAAGACCCTCGAACTCCAGCGTGCCACTCATGCCGTGCGCTGGCAAGGCTGCTCGGCGGCGGCGTAGCACGGTCTGCAACCGGGCTACCAGTTCGCGCGGCTCGAACGGCTTGGGCAGATAGTCGTCCGCGCCCAACTCCAGCCCCACCACCCGATCCATCACGTCACCCCGTGCCGTCAGCATCACGATGGGCAGGTCTCCCTGCTTGCGGATCGTGCGGCACAGCTCGAACCCATCCATTTCGGGCAACATCACATCAAGGATGGCTGCGTCAAAGCCCCCTGTCCCCAACTGCGCAAGCCCTTCACTGGGCCGCAGCGCATGAACAAGCTCCAGTTCGAACCGCTTGAAGTAGGTGGTCAGCGGCGGTCCCAGTTGTTCGTCGTCGTCAATGAGCAGGATTCGGTGCATGGTCAATTCTTGCACCATCCTGCCCTCCCGCATCCTGGGTGGCTACGGATGAAGGGACAGCCACACACAATGCGCGGTGCCTCACGATAAGCGCCCGCAACCGCCCCTGTGCGTGCGCATGCAACGCGTCGAATTGGTCTGCCGCCGCAAGCAGCACGGGCAATGCATGGATGGCTGCTTGCGGCTGCCGGGCTAGCAAACCGAGTGCATGCTCCCGGTCAAAGCGTGGGCCCCACACCAGCGACATGAGCTCATCATGCGGATCTGCCATGTCAGCCAGCAACACGGAGCCATGAGTACGTACCTCCTGGGCAAGGCGACGGAGGGGTTGCAAGGCAGGCGACATGGTATGACTCCTCTCCCTGTGTCAGCTACGAACCGCCCAGCCCTTGCGACGCTGCATGAAGTCGCGCACCTGCTGCTGCTGGTCTGCGTTCAAGCTGTCGTAAAAGTCTGCAAGCGCGTTGATCACCTCCGGGCTGTGGGCTTGGATCGCGCGTGTCTTCTCTTCCATAAGCGTCTGTGCTCGTGCTCTATCAAACTTGACGCCGGACACAATGGCCTGCACTTCCGCACGCGGATCGGTCGTCTTACCGACAAACGCCGTGCGCTGCGCTTCCAGTTGGTCCGCCAGGGTGATGAGTTTTGCTTTCTGGGCTTCGTTCAGGTCGAGCTTTTTGCTAACCCGGTCCACCATCTTGCCGCGCACTTCGGCAAGCTTTTCTGCACTCATGGGGCCGCGATGGTGCTGGCCGCTGGAACAAGCCGTTAAGCCTCCCAACGCAATGGAAGCGCCAAAGACAGCCCAAAGGGTTCGTTTGATCCAGGATTTCATGCTGCAGTCCTTTCAAGGACGATGTTGAACATGACCCTGATGGTGCCGCGCAATCTTAAGTAAGTCGTCTCGACGTAGTTTCGGTTTATTTCACTTTGTATCGCTTGCCACCAGCGCACTCGGAGGGATGGCACGCCCCTAGGGCATCACAGCAGACGTGACCCTCAACCGATTGGTCAATAGCACATACTCTGTGCGCATAGCCGCCACTGAAATCCCTACCACTGTCCATCCTTCGCGAGCCGTTGTGGCGAATGTGCAGAGTGGGCACCATAAGGAATGGGCTCAAATTCAGTTGGAACAAAGTCGAAAGGGAATACGTGGATGACCTAACCCAACGCCTGAATTTGGTGGTCGTCAAGGTCCGCGAACTGGATCTCTGGAACATCATGGTGATGCCGCCCTTGGTCAGGTGGCAAATTGTCTGCCTGCTGCCGCTGCCTTGCAGCTCCCATGGGCTGACCCATCTGCCATTCCATCTCCGGCCGTGGCTCATCCAATGAATACATGGTCAAGTTCTCCTGAAGTGCTCAGAAATAGACGACTGAAGTGAAGGCTCTACAGGCTGCAGACCGGAAAAACTCATCACCACCGCCCACATCTCCATCCACCTCGTTCAGGCCGCCTTGGCGAATTCGCGTGATTCGAAACCTAAGGCATCACCTTCGCCCGCTAGCAGGCCAATGCAGTCCAGTGCCGTTGGAGGATCGCAAGGCTCTGCATACACCCGCAATGCGATGTCAGCTGCTTGAGGAGAGAAATACAGACAGAGCGTGTCGGTGTTCTTGTCGTAGCAAGAGAAAAGCG